TAGACAGCCGGTGTAGACAGCCGGTGTAGACAGCCAGTGGTGACAGCCGGTGCTGACAGCCAGTGGTGACAGCCGGTGTAGACAGCCAGTGGTGACAGCCGGTGTAGACAGCCGGTAGTGACAGCCGGTGTAGACAGCCGGTGTAGACAGCCAGTGCTGCCGTTGCTAAGCGGGTGGTGGCGGGTGCTGCGGTGTGGGGAATGCTCCTCCGTCTCAGTTACTGCCCCTTCCTCTGTGATGCCCAGTCCTGGATACCCGTGTCTCTGCCAACCCTGTGGCAGGCCGGGAGCGCAGAGCCAAGTGCTGTCTTTACTGTGGTTTTCTCAGTGACCATGAAATTCTTTCGTCTGGGTTCGGTGTAACTGAGGAGAAGGAAGGGAAGCTGGGTGCTGCGTGGGGGACAGAGGTGATGGCCAGGTGAGCCCACGGGCTGCAGGGTTTTCAGGGTGTCAGGACAGCTCCTGGGCCAGGCACCAGGCCCGGAGGAGGGAGACCAGGCGTAGACAGGGCCGCCCTGAACCCCACCCCTGCGGGTTCTGGTTCCTGGACAGTGCTGGGGCCCTGGTCTCCCGGGAGGAGGGGTCAGGACCCTGGCTCCACCTGGGGCCTTCTCGGAGCAGCTTGGCGGGGAGGGGCGACTGCCAGCCCAGTAGTGCTCAGGGCGGCGGGCGAGGGGAGGGTGCTTCCGACCTCTGGCTGCCTCGGCTGCAGTACAGGGTGCTGCTGTGAGCTGTGTGTCTATGCGGACCAGGCTCCTGCTCAACCAGACCTCCCTGTGTCCTGCCTTTGCCTCGGTGTCTAGGCCCCCGCCCTCACCGACCAGCCACTGAACAGAGTGCACCCACACCCCCTGGAGCGCCTGTGGGGGCCCTGGGGGTGCAGAAGCTGTGTCAGGTCAGGACCGCGTGACCCCAGGGGCGTGAAAGCCCTTGGCTCCCCTGTGCCTGGTGCTGTCCGGAGGCGGGGTGACCGGGCGCTGCACACCCCGCAGGGTGCTGGGGCACAGGCGTAGCCACAGCCCTAAGGCCTCCTGGTCACTCCGCACCTGGAGAGAACAGGACTCTGGGCGGGAGGGGAGGGTTGGCCTCCCCGCCCCCCCCCAGGCGCTCCCGTGCAGAAGGAGCAGGGCAGGGTGCAGCACCCTCTCCCTGGGCAGAGGGGCTTCTTGCTGACCTCTGACCTTGCTGACCTCGCAGAGCTCCGGACACTGCTTTCCCGTGTCCTGAGAAGGGTGGGGTGTGGGGGTTGGGTTTTGGATGTCCTGGCCAGAAACATAGGTTGATTGACCAGAGCTGCAGTCATTTTCCTCCCATTTTCGTGTGTTTAAAAAAAGCAACGAAGAATTAGCTAGAGTAGGTCCCGTGTCAAGCGTCACGAGGGTGGCCTTGGGCCGCTGGTGCTGGGATCCCTAGATGTGACTGAACAGTTTGGGGGAACTCGGCGGTTGGGATCGGAGGCTGGACATGGAGGCTCCTTGGATTTACGCCTTGTTCAGTTTTTGTCAGAGGTCGTAGAACCACGGGGGAGGTGAGCTGCTCTGACTGTGAGCAGCTACAGGGACCGGCAGCCCCCGGCAGCAGGTGGGGGCACCCTGGGGGTGATGAGGCTGTTACTGCCCTGGGCAGGGACACTTGTGTCTGTGTTGCAGCCTCGGCCTCAGATCCAGGCGCTGAGGCATACTTCCAAAGCAGGTTTGCGGATGGGGAAAGATCTGTCCATTCCTAGAGCTCCCTGGAGACGTTTGCTGTTTACCTGGTTAATAAGGGGCTGGAGATCTTCAACCATCCCCAGACTAACTAGCATATACCCAGATTCCCCTGCAGGCGGAGAGCTGGCGTGCGGAGTCAGTAACTAGGTGGGGAGGGAAGATGGCAAAGGTGGGGGCCCCCGCCTCCCGCCCCCCGCTTTCCGGGCACAGCATCAGCCCCGGCTCCTGTGCTGTGAGAGCTCGAGGCGCTGTGGCCGGGGTGCCTCGTGCAGCACTGGGCTCTGGCTTCTCTGGATCTGCAGACCTGTGGACAGCAGAGACTGAGTCCTGAAGGCTGCCAGTCTAAGCACCTTCTGCGGAGAACAAGGAGGGTGCTGGACGAGAGAGACGCAAAATTAACAGCTCCGCCCCAAAGCCACCAGCAGGTCGAGGCTGCCGCTTTGCCCTCTCCGCCTGGACCGCGAGCAGCCGCCGTGGCTCATCCAGGGTCTGTCCTCCCGCTCCCCGCTTCGCACGGTCCCCCCGCTTACGTGGCCGTGCGCCCCCGCCGCGCCGCTGCTCCACGCAAGGCCGCTCCGTGGCCTGCTGGGACTCGCCGCCCAGGGAGGCTGCCCGAAAGTGGGGGAGAACATGGCGCCTCCCCTTCCAGCAGCTGCGTCTGGAATAGGGTGGCAGGTGGAGGCCCGCTGAGAATTCAGGGCTCGCTCACCTCTGGCCAGGGAGCCCTTGGGGTGGGTGGTGGGGCCCCAGCTGCGCTCCGGGCAGCGTGTGCTGTTTCACGTGCCAGCCGGTCGGTGGCGGTGCCAGCTTGCCGAAGGCGTGCAGAGCGTGGGGCATTGGCAGGACAGAGGGGCCCTGGCTGGACCGTCCGGCCAGGACAACAGCCCCAGTTAAGATGCCTAGGGCGGCTTCTGCTGGACTTGAACGCAGGGCCTGCTGAGAGAGTTAAGCGTGGGTCTGGTTCCCCCGTTAGAAGATAGACAGCTGGCTAACACGCGTTTCAGTGTAGGCCGACTTCGGTTTGGAAAATTTGTCGGGGAAGAGAGGGTGGAGAGAGAAGATAGATTGATGACTTACTTGGATTAGAGTGGTTTATCTGTCGAAAATTTAGTATGTCTTTTAGAACACATTCCAGTAGGCGTTTAGACATTTGCTTACTTTCACAAAAGCCTTACCCAGTACGTATCGCTGAGCTGGGTCACTGCTCCTGTTCTCCGCTTGCTGTGTTTTGTGGGCTCACGTACCCTCGAAGGGGAGACTTGGAAGTCTCTCCATCCTGCCCAACGCCCTGGGCCCACGGCCAGCCTGTCCTCAGGTGGGAGAACACCAGCCTTAGGATCCCGTGTCTGCACCCTCAGACGGGAAGGAACGTGGTCAGACGGGAAGGAACATGGTCCGGGGCTACTGAAATGAACCTCCTCTCTCTCTCTCTCTCCTACAGAACCTGAAAGCGGACCCAGAAGAGCTTTTTACAAAGCTGGAGAAAATAGGAAAGGGCTCTTTCGGCGAGGTGTTCAAAGGCATTGACAACCGGACTCAGAAAGTGGTTGCCATAAAAATCATTGATCTGGAAGAAGCTGAAGACGAGATAGAGGACATCCAGCAAGAAATCACAGTGCTGAGTCAGTGCGACAGCCCATACGTGACCAAATATTACGGGTCCTACCTGAAGGTAAGGCTTAAAGAGAGCCCGCGATTCTCCGCGACTTGAAGGAGGCCGACCCTGCGCGCAGGTTTTCAAAGGCAGGGCACAGGCTTTCACCTTTGCAGTCAAAAGAACACGGCTGTGATGGTTTCCCTCATCTGAAAGGTCACCTGAGAAATGTATTTTTGGTGAAAGTGTTTGATGTCCAAATCCCCTTTCAAACAGGAAAGAGTGTCTCTGATGGGACTTTGTCGTAAACAAGTGCATTTAAGTTATTATAGATAACCATTAGTCACCTTGTCTTAACGTGGCTTATAAAAACTCACGCCGACCTAAGAACATTAATCTTTTGAAATTTGGAGTGTTCAAATATAGTTTAATGCTCTTTAAAAAAACAAACAAACTACTGCTAAGAATTGATGTTGATTTGAGAGCTAGTTTGCCAAATTTGATTTTTAAGAATTCTAGGTAAGTAAAAGATAGTTGAAGTGAAATACTAGTTATTGCACAAACTACAGAAGGTCTCTGATCTTCATCAGTTCCTTAAGAGGATGGAATAGTAGTAAGAACGGTTTTCCACCCCTGCCTGAACCACGCTGCCATTGTTGACGCAGGTGGACAGTGCCTGCCTTTCCTGGACACTCGCTCACTGGACTTGGAAATGCGTTTTTCAGAAAACATAAGACTTGGTAAAAAAGAAAAATATTTTGATGAATTCTCATGGAAACAGAAGCTTCATAGGCAGAAAGAACTATTTCCTGAGGGAGGCAGCATAACCCCAGGTCTTGGAGACTGGGGCCCCCTGTGGCTCCCGGTGTCCTCAGTCGGGACGGGCCGGCCCCATGAGCCAGGGCACGGCTTGGCCAGTACATTTCAATGTACTTTTTAAAGATTTATTTATTTATGCGTATAGATAAATAATGCTCCAGTCCTGTCGGGGCCGGGGCGGGGAGGCTGAGGCCTGCGGTGGGGCTTTGAGGTGAGGTTGAAGATGATGACTGCTCCATGTGGCTTTCACGTCCTTGTGACATTACCTGTGGGCTCCAGAGTTGAGTGTTGACGGGAACGGGCCGAGGGTTCCTTGGGGGACTTTTACCTAAGGGAGGCTGAATCAGGAAATGGGCAGAAGCGGGGTTCTCCATCTCTGGGTTTGTGTCAAGGGCCTCGTAGCTATGTTTTGGTTTCTAAAACCTAGCCTAGAAGAAGTGATCCAAAGCAGTTGGTATGTGGCCAAGTCAAAAGGTCACGGAAGGTGGACTACAGACTTGTTTTCTAGCATATTTCCCCTTAAAATCTGAAAACCAAGACAGAAATTATTTGGGGTGGAGACAGGGGAAATACAACTTTTGTTTATATTGGTGAATCTGAGACTTGAAGGGTTTTATTTGCTGTCTTTTAGGTGTTTAAGTCTTGGGAAATCAAACCAGCTAGAATATTTAACCCGAGGCATCCATACCCCAGACATCCTACTGGCGTGTTCTGCCACAAAAATACCACCTGCGGGCCCTCCCTGGTGGTGCAGCGGGTTAGGACGCAGCACTGCAGGCTGGCCACGGCCGCCTCACCGCCGAGTTCGATCCCCACCCTGGAGGTGACCCACAGGGCGCGGCAGACCTCTCCTGACCCGGCCGCTGCGCCCCTCAGCAGTGTAATTCATCAATCTGCCTGTTCTGCTCCCCACTCTGTCTCTGGTGACGCCTCTCACCACCCCTGCACCTCTGGCTTGTATCCCAGTTCTATGTGCATAAGTAAATAAATCTTTAAAAAATACATTGAAAAAAATACCACCTGTAAGGTTGTAATAGAATCGCATGGGTGCAGGTGGTGTGCAGGAAGAGGAAAACTTAGGGGCTTCAGGATCCTGGTGGCGGGCGGCCTAGCAGGGCCCTGGCATGCTTAGTGGTGTCCCGAGGATTCTGTGCCTGTGCTGGGTGTGAGTGTGTGTGAGCGAGTGTGTGTGTGAGCTCCCCTTTGGGATTCACTTAGAGGTACAGCCAGGCTTTAATTCAGGCTGCTGGTACAGGCCCTAACTGGGGGCTTTAGGCCTGGCGACTCCCTCACGGACAGATGCAGGTGCTTATGGCCGTCTCACCCGGTGACTTTAAAGACTGAGTTCACAAGTGCTTGATGTGGGAGATTTCACGTAAATGGTAACTTAAAAAGTGTTCTTTTTTAAACGGCGAAGCTCTCTGTGCCAAATGAGTCACATCTCATGAGCCTTAAAGGCAGATGATTAAATCACCAAATGTGAGGTTTGTCATGTTCTCGTACAGGTTTATTATTTTCGGACATTCGCTTAACCAGAGCGAGTGAGGTGCCAGGAGAGCACCAGGGGGCTGTTTCGGGGGTTCTCTCGTGGCGTCAGTCTTGAGGGAGGGGGCTCCCCGGACACCCCCCCACCCCGGCCCCAGGCTCCCGAGCGGGCGCTCTCCAGTTCCTGGAACTCTGCAGGGTAGTTCTTTCTGCCCATTGAGTCACCGGAAAACTGATGCAAGAGAGTCCGGGGTGAGGTTTAGAGGGTGAAGGGCCGGGGGCTGCGGTCTGGGGTGCCGCAGGCTCACTCTGGACGCCCTTGGAGCCGTGTTCTCTGGACCTCATCAGATACTTGTCTTCCTTCCCCAAAGGGGAAATTCCATCAGGAGTATTTCCGGGTGGAAATAGAAAAACCGGTCAGTGTACCTTAGGGGAAGCAGCGAGGGACATTTACCCGCATCTCAGCGAGGCTGCCGCCTCCACTCTTCCGCCCACCCGCTCACCACTCCTGCCCCTCAGAGACTGCTCAGGCATGAGGGGCCATTAGCGGCACCCCTGGTCCTGTGGACCAGAGAGCCTGCTCAGCCTAACTCCAGAAAGCACGAATGCAGAGCAGAAAAGTTAGTGTGGGCACGGGGGTGCGCAGCTGCCGGCGGCCACATGTCTGGTCTTGCTGTCTCCCCCATCTCCAGCTGCCCCTCGGCAAACCTCTTGTGCTGAGCCCTGCTTCCAGAGAACTTAGGCGTAGGGGGAGGGGTTCTTGGTTTTGGGGCGCACGTAATTCCGATAGGTGCCTGGTATGTGCAAACTCTGCCCTGCCCCAGGAATTCTTACAGAAGCGCCTTCCCCTGTCCACCCTGCTCCCGTCACAGGGTCTGGCATGTCACGAGACGGAGTGGGCTGCGGGTGGAGCGTTGGAGCAGGGTCCTGCTGCTCAGGAACCGGGAGAGGCCCAGGGTAGAGAGGGGCTCACCCTGCTGGCCACGGCCCCAGGGCTGGATGGTCGTTGGTGAGCCATGACTGGCCGGCCCTGCACAGGCATCCTGGGGGGGCGGGGGCGGGCGGGGGCTCTGCTCTGGCACCAGCCGAGGTCGCCGGCCCCAGGAGCCGTGTTTCTGGGGCTGCCGTTTGTGACTCTGGGAGTAGCCCCAAGGGTGTTGTGGATGTGATGTCTGGCAGCCTGTGGTTGTGGTTCTGCCCACATGATTTTGGTGGCCAGTGCCAGGATGAGCTTCGTGTCCACGCCCACGGGTGGGGGTGTGTGTGCACACCTCAGGCGACATTCTGGGGGTTTGACGTATTGGGGTGGTGCTTCCTGGGTTGTTCTTGTTCTGAGGTCAGGTAAAGCAGAGGCTGTGGGGGCCCCCGGGGGGCAAGGTGGAGAGGCTGGTTCACAGCCGGGTTCAGGAGCTCCTGGGCCCCCTCTTGTCCATGCTCACGACAGAAACAGCTTTCCCGAGTAACATGGAGGAGCAGGGCCAGTCTGCTTCCCAGGGCATGGGTCACCAGCGGGAGCGAGGGGGTCTCCCCCTCACGGGGGGCTCCTGGGCAGAGCCTGGGTGTATTGGACGCTTTCCAGCGAAGTGATGTTGACCCAGGTCTGAAGAATTATCTGGGTTTGGTTTGACGTGGACCAGTGAATGGTAAAGCAGGAGAGATGTTGCTTCCCGCTACCCCCCTTGTATACGTGTGTTAAGTGCATGTGCTTTAAATTTCTTGTTGCCAGCGGGCCATTTTCGTGCTAAAGCGGAGCGCGTCCCTCTGCAGACCCTGGTTTCAGGCTCCCCCCCCCCCCCAGCCACAAAAGCGGCCGTGTTACCCCGGCCAGTCACATGCTGGCTACTTCCCCTACCCGTTAGCGGGCCTCGGGTGAAGGAGTGAGCCCACCTCTAGGTTCGGAATCTTGGCTCTCAGCTGTGGGCTTCTAAGAGCTTCCAGGCGATTCTAACAAGGCCGCCCAGAGGCGCCACAAAGGTGACCGTCCCTGAAGATGGTCCGCGTTGGGGAAGATGCGTGTTTCCTTACATTGGAACTTTCCAGAAGGATGGCAGCCCCGGGCACGGCAGCTGGCAGGTGACTGTCGCTGGGGACCCACTGGGGATCCAGGCGCCTCCTCTCTACTCGCCCTCGATTTCCCGTCCGTTTTCAGCACCGTATGATTCCACTGGTCCCCAGGTTCCAGTGCCACCTCACTACCGAACGAAGCCCCGCCCTCCCCTGGCGACCCCGTGTCTTTCAGCATTGAGTGATCTTTGTTGTGTTCGCCTGTCTTTTCATATTACCGTCCTGGGCCCCGGTTTTCCTGGGCACATGCAGGCCACCTTCCCGCCCTCCTGTGGAGTCTGATTCCTCAGCCAGCCCCTGCCTGGGGGTGGGGGGTGGGGGGGCTCTTCTGTGTCCTTTTAGGGAGTCTGCTCTCATGCCTGCTGCCTCCTGGGGTGCGCACCTGCTGTCACGTCAGCGCCCTGCAGGTGCCCTCTGAGGCCCGGCGAGCCCCGTGGCTTCCCGGCCGTGGTCGCTGCGCGGCACCCCTGCATTTGGCTCTAGTGCTGGATTTTCATTTGCTGCCACCTTCTCGGCTAGTTGTGCTGGATAAGTTCCTGCCTCGCACATGCATGGAGTTCCCTCCACTCTTGAATGCTGGGGTGCCGTTCCCCTCTGAGGCACCTGTGTGCTGACATTGATCTAGAAGCCTCCCCAGCATCTGAGCAGCTGAAGGTCCCGCTGGGCTGGGAAATCAGACTCCCTTGCAGTAATGGGGCAGCTCAGCCGTC